AATATACTACAAAGCTGTAGTAACCAAAACAGCATGATAGTGCCATAGAAACAGACACTTAGACCAGTCAAACAGAATATGGAACCCAGAAATAAATGCACACATTTTCTCCGAGAACATTCACCAGGGAAAGAACAGTCTCTTCAATAAATGGTGTATATTCAGAATAACTGAATATCCATTTGCAGAATAATAAAACTAGGCCCTATCTCTCACCATATACAAAAATCAAATATTAACAAAAATGGATTAAAGGCTTAAGTGTAAAGTTATGAAACTATGAAAACACTAGAGAAAATGTTGGGGAAACATTTCAGGACATTGGATGGGGCACAGTTGTTTTGGTGGGTTACAAAAAGCACAGGCAGTATGAGCAAAAATAGACATTATATCAAGCTAAAAAGCTTCTGCACAACAAAGGAAATAATCAACTATGTGAAAAGACAACATGCAGAATGGGAGAAAATATTTTCAAAATATTCATCTGACAAAGGATTAACAATGTTGAAAGTCAAACATTTCAACAAAATTCCAAATAACACAAATATAGTCAAAAGATTTGAATACACATTTCTTTAAAGAAAACATAAATGCTCAATAGGTAAATGAAGAAATGCTCAGCATCACTACTCAACAGGAAAATGCAAATCAAAACCACAATGAGATATCATCTCACCTCAGTTAAAGTAGCTATTATCAAAAAGACAGAAAATAACATATTTCCAAGGATGTTGAAAAAGGGAATGCTTGTACACTGTTGATGAGAATGTAAAGTAGTACAGCCACCATGGAAAACTATATGGAGGTTCCTCAAAGAACTAAAAATAGAACTACCATATGGTGCAGCAATCCCACTGTTGGGTATTCATCCAAAAGCAAGGAAATTAGTATATCAAAGAGATATGTGCACTCTCGTTTATTGCAGCTCTATTCGTTATAGTCAAGATACAATGTCAACCTAAATGCCCATCAGTGATGTATGGTAAACTGGCACCTCTTCCATTATCCTGCAAGGAGTGAGAGCCCACTCTTCAAAGTGAACTAGCACAAAAATGGAAAAACAAACACTGCATATACTCAGCATCAAATTGGTACTAACTGCTCAACACTTTGGTTGCTCACACATGGAAGTAACATTCATTAGGTGCCAGGCAGGTGAAACAGGGGAGGAGAGGATGAATAAATTCACAACTAATGAGTGCAGAGCACACTGTCTGGGAGATGGGCATGCTTGTAGCTCTGGCTTGGGCAGTGCAAAGACAATATATGTGATCAAAATGTTTGTACCCCTATAATATTCTGAAATTTAAACATAGAATAAAAATGAAAACATGGTATATATACACAATGAAATACTATCCAACCATAGAAAAGGAAGAAATTCTGTCATTTTCAGCAATATGGATGGAACTGGAGGTCATTATGTTAAATATAAAAGTCCAGGCCCAAAAAGACAAATATCCTATATTCTCACTTACATTGGGAGTTTAAAAAAATTGATCTTATTGATGTAGTCGGCAGAATTTTGGTTACTAGGGGCTAGGAATGGTGGTCGGGGACAGGGAAAAAGGGAGGGTGGTTAATAGGTACAAAAATACAATGAGATTAAAAAGAATAAGTTCTAGTGTTTGATAGCACAATAGGGTGACAATAATTAACAGTAATTTATCATATATTTCAAAATAGCCATAGGAGATTTGGAATGTTCCCAACACAAATAATAAATATTTAAGGTGATTGATATTCACATTACCCTAATTTCATCAGTACACATTATACATGAATCAAAATATCATGTACCCATAAGTGTACAACTATTATGTATCACAAGAAAAAGAATAAAAACAACTGGATTCTCTACAGCTAAATATCAAAAGGAAAAAAAAGAAAGAAAGGAAAGGAAAAGTGCTATCAAGCCATGAAAAGACATGGAGGCAACTTAAATGCATGTTACCAATTAAAGGAAACCAATGTGAAAAGGCTATACATTGTATGATTCTGAATATGTTATTTTGAAAAAGACAGAATTGTGGAGGCACTAGAAAGATTGGTGGTTGCCAAGGATTAGGGAATAGGGAGAGATAAACAGAGCACAGAGGACTTTTTGGCAATGAAACTATTCTTTAAAATATTTTAATGGTGGATAAATGTGATTATACCTTTGTCAAATGCCACAGAATATTCAGCACCAAGAGTGGATCCCAATGGGATCTATGAACTTTGGTAATAATGTATTAATGTAGGTAATTAATGGCAAGAGTATATGAAGAATCTTTATACCTTTTGTTCACCTTTGCTGTGAACCTAAAAGTGTTCTAAAACATAAAGTCTATTTAAACAGTAGACTTCCTGATTTCTTGTCTATGGCATCAGGAAGATGGAGAACTAGGAGGTCTCAGGCTTCACTAACCCCCACAGAATGTTCAACTAGTAACTATCTACAGACAAGAACACCTTGGTCAAAACCTCCCAAATTGAAAATAAGTCTGAATCACTTGTGTGGTCCATAGAATGGAATAATAACCTCATAGAAAGGTGAGATAAATAATTTCACTGTGACCAAACCTTCCATCCCCCAAGAAAGCATAGCACCACATAGAATTCCCCAGGCACCATGGTTCCTAAAGAGGGTAAAAAGAACCAACAGTGAACATCCAGCTTCCCTAACATTCTGGGATGCTTCCCAGGAAGCTTATTCTGGTATCTCCTCACAGAGAACATGGTAACAGCATGCCTAGATCTTATAGGTTCAGATAGAAACAAGCAAGAAGGCAGAGCCCACAGCAACCAGCATGCAGATCTTAGTGATAGCTCTCTGTATGTGCCAGTGGCAGCACCTAATTAAAGGTGCCAGTGAACAGCACAGCCCACTTGCAAAGCTGAGCTTGTCACTACTGAAAGTAGTGGGAAGTTATATTTGGTCATCCCTAGATGACCAGGCTCCAAGAGCCCCCCCCCCACTGACCCACATGCCCCAGGAGGGGCAGGATCTACTAGAAGAGAGTTCTTGAGTGCCTCATCTGTGACAAGGCTATGCCTGGCCCATCCTATCTTGTCAGTCTATGCTACCTGAGGTGATCTACAGATTCAATGCAATCTCTATCAAAAGTCCAATTTCAGTTTTCAAAGAAATAGAAAAAACAATCCTAACATTTATTTGAAACCACAGAAAGCCTTCAATAGCAAAGGCAATCATGAGCAAAAAGAACAAAGCTGGAGGCATCACACCACCCAATTTCAAACTATACTACAAAGCAATAGTAATTAAAACAGCATGGTATTGGTATAAAAATAGATGCATTGACCAACAGAAAAGAAGAAAAAGCCCTGAAATAAACCTTCATATATGCTGTTAATTGTTTTTCAACAGTGGTGCCAAGAATACACAATGACAAAGGACAGTCTTTTAAATAAATAAAAAGACTGTTGGAAAAATTGGACATGAATATGCAAAAGAACAATATTAGAACTTTGTCTACACCATATATAAAACTGAACTCAAAATGAATTAAACTTGTAAAAATAAGACCCCAAACTGTAAAACCTCTAGACGAAAACATGGGGAGAAAATTACATGGCATTGGTCTAGGCAATAATTTTTTAGATTTGCCTCCCAAAAGTATAGACAACAAAAGCGAAAATAGACAAATAAGATAACATCAAACTAAAACTCATCTGCACAACAAAGGAAACAACAGAATAAAGTGACAAGCTATCGACTGGCAAAGAGATTGGAAGGCAACATCTGAAAAGGAGGTAATATCAAAATATGCATGGAACTAAAACAACTCTATAGAAAGAGAACATATGATCTGATTTTAAAATGGCCAAGGGACCTGAATAGACATTTTTCAGAAGAAGACATACAAATGGCCAACAGATATATGAAAAAATTCTCAACATCACTAATTATTAGAAAAGTGCAAATTAAACCCACAAGGAGATAACACATCGTACCCATCAGAAAGGCTATTATCAAGAAGTTGAATGGTAACAAGTGTTTGCCAGGATGTGGAGAAAAGGAAATCCTTGTAGGCTGCTGAGAAGAATGTAAATTAGTACAGCTATTATGGAACACTGTATAGGCTTTCCTCAAAAACCAAAAAATAGAACTCCTGTTTTATCCACTAATCCTACTGCTAGGTATTTACACAAAAGATGTTAAATCCATTTTTCACAGAGATGTCTGCCCTGCCATGTTCACTGCAGCACTATTGACGTTATCCAAGTTATGAAATCAACTTAAATGTCCATAACCAAATAAATGGATAAAGAAAATGTGGTATGTATACACAAGGGAATGCTATTCTGCCTTAGAAAAGAAAGAAATTTTGTCCTTGCAATGATATGGATAGAATTGGACAGTATTATATTAAGGGAAAGAAACCAGGAACTATGTTCTCTGTTATGTGGAATCTAAAACAATCACATTCAAAGAAGCAGGGGTAGAATCATGATCAACAGAGACTGGGGGAATTGCAGGAATGGGGAGATGGTGGTCAAAGGGTCCAAAGCCTCAATTAGACAGGAGAAAAGTTGTTTTTTCTTTTCTTTGTGAGGTAAAGTGTGGTAAATATAGTGTTATTTTTAAGTTTGGCTCAAAGTGTCCTCTGTGCTTGTGGTAATAAGGTTTGGCCCACAGTGGCCTCCTTGCTTAGTGAGTGGTACTCTAACTTGATGTGTAAACAGTTGTAACCTGACCTAGTAGTAAACTCTTGTAACCAAGCAACTGAGTCCCAGAGAACCATTGCAGCCAAAGATTTAGCCAATCGCAGGCTAAAAGCTCCGGAAGTATGCCCCAGTAAGGCCTGGGCCAAACGGGACCAGTCAGGTACTATCTCCCTACCTCATTTCCTGTTTCCTGGTTATAAATGCCGCTCACCTCATTAGGGGCGGGGGCATTCAGAACCATATTCTGTCGAGAATGCTGCCCACTTGTAGAACTCTTTTCTTACCCAAGTAAACTTTGTCAAATTTAAAGTGTCTTGGGTTTTTAACAGGTCGACAGGTTCAAGGAGCAGAGAGTGACCACGCAAGAGCTCGCCAGGAGCCGTTGAGCCCAGTGATCACTTGCGGCATCTGGTAAGCTTCTCCCTTGGATTCCAAGTTCCACTTATTTTGTGTTCTGAGCTTGCCAAGTGTATCTGAACAATAGGTTTCCTTTTTTTGTTTATTTGTTTTTGTTTCTTGGGGTTTTGTTTTTCTGTGTGTGTTTTCTGCCCCAGTTTACTCAAATGGATTATTAAATGGCTAGGTGTATGAGTCTGTTAGACACAATCTGAACTACTGATAGTACAAAATCAAATTGGAATGAACATTTAATAAAACAGAGAATTTTATTCTGATCTCCTGAAAACAATAAATACCAAAAATGTACTCATTTACTCTTCAACCTCGAACAATTGAAGATTTCAGGCTATGAATACATACTTGCAGGAATCTTCAACATCTGTGCTTACAAGCAATCATTTTGTTCTTTACAGACCACAGAAGGGTTCACTGTTTAGTGGGCTGGACCTTCACCTCCAGAATATTCAATTATAAGGACAATAAAGACCTGGTAGAGTTTAAGACTCTGGATGAAGGAGAAATAGAAGAAGTGCTGAAAATATATTTAATATTTCTCTGGAGAAAAAGCTTGTGGCCAAACATGGTGATCGATCTCTTACCATTTAAGATAAGGAGCAAAATAAACCTCTATTTATTACCCAGCTCACCAGTATCAAATGCTGATCTCTCATATTTCCTCTAACCCCCTACATTATTTGAAGAGAATTCTAGACATCAAATCATTTATCCCATAAAATGTCAGTATATGCAGCTAAGTAGCTTTTTACAGAAACATAAGCACACACCTCTTGAATTAATAATATATAAGGCATTTTAGCTAATGGGTGGTAATCTTGAGAACCATAGTCACTTATGCTAGAAAACTTGCAATATTGATTATTGCTGATTCCTAGATTGTTAGTGGTGATAGATAAATAGAATGTTATGGAAAACTTATTGCCTATAAATATATTAAACAATTGTTGGCTAATACAATGTGAATCAGAGTTTTTCTTTGAGAGACAGGATATTATCGGGTTAGGTGATTGTTCTTCATGGAGTCTTCCTCTCATCTCTCTGTTGTCCCTAGTTATATTCACTTTAGCCCAGGAATTTGAGGTTGCAGAGAGCTATGTTGATACCACTGCCTTCTAGCCTAGGCAACAGAGTGAGACCCTGTCTGAAAAACAAAAAACAATCAAACTGAAAAACCAAGTTTCATGCTTTGCAGATGACATGACCTTATATTTAGAAAACCTAAAGAATTCTCCAAGACACTGTTAATGATAAAGTTCCAGGATACAAATCCTACATACCAAATAAGTACCATTCTATATTTCAACAGTGAACAATCTGGAAAAGATTTCAAGAATGAATTTCATTTCTAATAATTTCAAAAAATACCAAGAATAAATTAACCAAAAAGTAAAAATCTGTACAAGAGTACTATAAAGCACCAATGAAAGCAATTGGAGATTTAAAAAATTGAAGATGTCCCATAGTCAGGGATTGGAATAATTAATATTATTAAATGTCTGTACTACCTGAAATGATGTACAGATTTAATGCAATCCCTGTCAAAATACCAGTGTCATTTTCACAAAATAGAAAATAGTCCTACAATTCTAGAGAATCACTGATGTCCTCAAATAGCCAGAGCAATCCTGAGCCAAAAGAACAAGGTGAAGGCAATCCCTGATTTCAAATATACTACAAAGCTGTAGTAACCAAAACAGCATGATAGTGCCATAAAACAGACACTTAGACCAGTCAAACAGAATATGGAACCAGAAATAAATGCACACATTTTCTCCGAGAACATTCACCAGGAAGAACAGTCTCTTCAATAAATGGTGTATATTCAGAATAACTGAATATCCATTTGCAGAATAATAAAACTAGGCTATCTCTCACCATATACAAAAATCAAATATTAACAAAATGGATTAAAGGCTTAAGTGTAAAGTTATGAAACTATGAAACACTAAGAAAATGTTGGGAAACATTTCAGGACATTGGATGGGGCACAGTTGTTTGGTGGTTAAAAAAAGCACAGGCAGATATGAGCAAAATAGACATTATATCAAGCTAAAAAGCTTCTGCACAACAAGGAAATAATCAACTATGTGAAAAGACAACATGCAGAATGGGGAAAATATTTTCAAATATTCATCTGACAAAGGATTAACAATGTTAAAGTCAAACATTTCAACAAATTCCAAATACACAATATAGTCAAAAGATTTGAATACACATTTCTTTAAAGAAACATAAATGCTCAATAGGTAAATGAAGAAATGCTCAGCATCACTACTCAACAGGAAAATGCAAATCAAAACCACAATGAGATATCATTCACCTCAGTTAAAGTACTATTATCAAAAAGACAGAAATAACATATTTCCAAGGATGTTGAAAAAGGAAGCTTGTACACTGTTGTGAGAATGTAAAGTAGTACAGCCACCATGGAAAACTATATGGAGGTTCTCAAAGAACTAAAAATAGAACTACCATATGGTGCAGCAATCCCACTGTTGGGTATTCATCCAAAAGCAAGGAAATTAGTATATCAAAGAGATATGTGCACTCTCGTTTTGCAGCTCTATTCCTTATAGTCAAGATACAATGTCAACCTAAATGCCAGTGTGATGTATGGTAACTGGCACTCTTCCATTATCCTGCAAGGAGTGAGACCACTCTTCAAAGTGAACTAGCACAAAAAGGAAAAACATGCATATATCAGCATCAAATTGGTACTAACTGCTCAACACTTTGGTTGCTCACACATGGAAGTAACATTCATTAGGTGCCAGGCAGGTGAAACAGGGGAGGAGAGGATGAATAAATTCACAACTAATGAGTGCAGAGCACACTGTCTGGGAGATGGCATGCTTGTACTCTGGCTTGGGCAGTGCAAAGACAATATATGTGATCAAATGTTTGTACCCTATAATATTCTGAATTTAAACATAGAATAAAATGAAAACATGGTATATATACACAACAAATACTATCCAACCATAGAAAAGGAAGAATTCTGTCATTTTCAGCAATATGGATGGAACTGGAGGTCATTATGTTATAATAAAAGTCCAGGCCCAAAAAGACAAATATCTATATTCTCACTTACATTGGGAGTTTAAAAAAATGATCTTATTGATGTAGTCGGCAGAATTTTGGTTACTAGGGCTAGGAATGTGGTCGGGACAGGGAAAAGGAGGGTGGTAATAGGTACAAAATACAATGAGATTAAAAAGAATAAGTTCTAGTGTTTGATAGCACAATAGGTGACAATAATTAACAGTAATTTATCATATATTTCAAATAGCCATAGGAGATTTGGAATGTTCCCAACACAAATAATAAATATTAAGGTGATTGACATTCACATTACCTAATTTCATCAGTACACATTATACATGAATCAAAATCATGTACCATAAGGTAAACTATTATGTATCACAGAAAAAGAATAAAACAACTGGATTCTCTACAGCTAAATATCAAAAGGAAAAAAAGAAGAAAGAAAGGAAAAGTGCTATCAAGCCATGAAAAGACATGGAGGCAACTTAAATGCATGTTACCAATAAGGAAACCAATGTGAAAGGCTATACATTGTATGATTCTGAATATGGTATCTGAAAAAGACAGAATGTGGAGGCACTAGAAAGATTGGTGGTTGCCAAGGATTAGGGAATAGGGACAGATAAACAGAGCACAGAGGACTTTTGGCAATGAACTATTCTTTAAAATATTTTAATGGTGGATAAATGTGATTATACCTGTGCAAATGCCACAGATATTCAGCACCAAGAGTGGATCCCAATGGGATCTATGAATTTGGTAATAATGTATTAATGTAGGTAATTAATGGCAAGAGTATATGAAGAATTCTTATACTTTTGTTCACCTTTGCTGTGAACCTAAAAGTGTTTCTAAACATAAGTCTATTTAAACAGTAGACTTCCTGATTTCTTGTCTATGGCATCAGGAAGATGGAGAAATAGGAGTCTCAGGCTTCCTAACCCCACAGAATGTTCAACTAGTAACTATCTACAGACAAGAACACCTTGGTCAAAACCTCCCAAATTGAAATAAGGCTGAATCACCTGTGTGGTCCATAGAATGGAATAATAACCTCATAGAAAGATGAGATAAATAATTTCACTGTGACCAACCTTCCATCCCCAAGAAACATAGCACCACATAGAATTCCCCAGGCACCATGGTTCCTAAAGAGGGAAAAAGAACCAACAGTGAACATCCAGCTTCCCTAACATTCTGGATGCTTCCCAGGAAGCTTATTCTGGTATCTCCTCACAGAGAACATGGTAACAGCATGCCTAGATCTTATAGGTTCAGATAGAAACAGCAAGAAGGCAAAGCCACAGCAACCAGCATGCAGATCTTAGTGATAGCTCTCTTATGTGCCTAGTGGCAGGCACCGAAGGGAGGGGTGATCTGAGTAAATACAAATTTTTCTCTCTGTGCCTGAGTGGTAGAGTTTTAGAGCTTGTCTAAGTGTGGAGAAAGAGTGCTGGTTCAAGTTAGGATGGGATAAAATGCAATTAATCTAGTAGGTTTAGGAGAAATAATGTTGTAGACCTCAAGGACAGGGAAAGGTGGGAATACTGGCAATATTGGAAGGATATTTGGGTCAAAAAGAGAAAGATAAATATATGAAAGAAATGATAGGAGGACGGAAAATATAGATGCTTTACTTACCACCACCCACGGGTCCCTTTGTACCATGTCATCCTTAGGCCATGCCATACCACAAAGGAGTTACTCTGGAGGTCTGGGCACCACTGCTGCAAATCAAAGTCTCAATAGATGAAGACTCTTTGATAGCAGGTTACAAAAACATTTTCTAAATGGATTAAACAAAATCAGGGGCATTTTTCTATTGGTTCACATTTCATAAAAGCTAAAAGATTGCTTAAGCTTTCGTTGATGACTTTCTTCATCATCCCTTCTCCTGCTCCTTATTCCTCAACTTTGTCAATTCTTTTTTTTTTATTCCTTTTATTTTTTATTTCTATTTTTTTTTCTTTTTCTTTTCTTTTTTTTTTTTGCTTACAAGAAACTTTTCATTCTTACCAGTCAATTCTTTATTAGTGTTGTTCTTCACTAGGATTTCCCCAATAGCTTTAGGGTAATATCTCACTAGCTTTTAGCCCTTCAGCAGAATGTACATACTTAGATTTTGGCAAAAGTCATTCAATAAATGTCTCATTGATCTACTCACGTTCCCTGCCATCCATGAGCCAAACATTGGTACTAAAACTTGTGTTTGAATTTCTCCTCCCTAGTTCACATGAAGATCCACAGAGTTCAATGTGGATCGCTCATTCTCCATACAGTACTCAGAAAGATCCCGTTGATTATGACAAACATTGTTCAAATTATAACCCTTTTGTCATCCTCTCATTTTTATTTCTCACGTCAATTACAGTAATAGCCATAATGCCAACATTGACTGTAAAACTGTATCTACCTGATCTCATCTCGGTCCACTCTCACTTCTCACTTCACTATTGTTCCCATCACCCTGGCTTCGTAGATGTTTCTTACACAGCTTATGGCTTTTTAACTTTCTGTTCATCTGCTTGGAATAATCTTCCCCACACGTATCCACTGAGCTTATTCTCCAGCATCCTTATCGTCTTCATGCGTCTTTATTTAGCTGCCATCTTTGAAACTGAAGCTCTCCCTGTGCCCTCACTAATCCCTTTCTTTGCTTTAGGTTTCCCCAGGACACTTACCACAATCTAACCAATAGAACATTTTATCCATTTACCAGTTGACTATTGAACATTTTATCCAGTCAGAATGTTACTCCCACTCCCAGTAAAATGTAAGATTTTTGAGGACAGGTAAACACTCGATGACTAGCAAATACATAAATGATATTCAGTGAAACTATTGAATGAATCAATCAGTGTGTAAATAAATATAATTCTTTTAGTGGGGAACTTTGTGTAAGATTCAACAAAAGGGAAACTCAAGTGTGTCGTGTACCTTGAGTACCACGTCCTCTATTGTATAATTCTGCTGCTTATGTCAGGATATGTTTCTAAGACTACTTAATTGATACCAACTGGAATCTCTTTTTTATTCATCCCCAAGAAAACCACAAATAAGCTATTTATCATTTGGCTCATCATTTCATCTGATTTTCCAGCTTTTCATGCCTGGAAGATAGAAGAAATGATACTACTTTCCTTACAGGGTTCTGAGACTATTAAGTGAACTTGTGCATATGAAATCATTTTGTACAATAAAGCACTAAATAAGGAGTTATTAATATAGATACTTGTAACCATAGAGTGCTTTTCATAAGTAAAATACATTACACCTATAATTAGGCTACTCAAAGAAATCCATGTGCAAAAGTAATACTATCTATCTTTATTTTCCTTGCTTAGGGTATCATGGACATTGAAGCATATTTTGAAAGAATTGGTTATAAGAACTCTAGGAAGAACTTGGACTTAAAAACACTAACTGACATTCTTCAGCACCACATCCGGGCCATTCCCTTTGAGAACCTTAACATACATTGTGGGGAAGCCATGGAGTTGGGCTTACAGGCCATTTTTGATCAAGTTGTGAGAAAGAACCGGGGTGGGTGGTGTCTCCAGGTCAATCAACTTCTGTACTGGGCTCTGTGCACAATTGGTTTTGAGACCATGATTTTGGGAGGGTATGTTTACATAACTGCAGCTGACAAATACAGCAGTAACATGATTCACCTTGTACTGCAGGTGACCATTGGTAGCAGGAAGTACATTGTTGATGCTGGGTTTGGACGCTCCTACCAGATGTGGCAGCCTCTGGAGTTAATTTCTGAGCAGGATCAGCCTCAGGTGCCTTGCATCTTCCGCTTGAGAGAAGAGAGTGGCATCTGGTACCTGGACCAAATCAGAAGAGAGCAGTACATTCCAAACAGAGAATTTCTTAATTCTGATCTCCTGGAAAACAATAAATACCAAAAAATGTACTCATTTACTCTTGAACCTCGAACAATTGAAGATTTTCAGGCTATGAATACATACTTGCAGGAATCTTCAACGTCTGTGCTTACAAGCAAATCATTTTGTTCTTTACAGACCACAGAAGGGGTTCACTGTTTAGTGGGCTGGACCTTCACCTCCAGGATATTCAATTATAAGGACAATAAAGATCTGGTAGAGTTTAAGACTCTGGATGAAGGAGAAATAGAAGAAGTGCTGGAAAATATATTTAATATTTCTCTGGAGAAAAAGCTTGTGCCCAAACATGGTGATCGATCTCTTACCATTTAAGATAAGGAGCAAAATAAACCTCTATTTATTACCCAGCTCACCAGTTATCAAATGCTGATCTCTCATATTTCCTCTAACCCCCTACATTATTTTGAAGAGAATTCTAGACATCAAATCATTTATCTCATAAAAATGTCAGTATATGCAGCTAAGTAGCTTTTTACAGAAACATAAGTACACACCTCTTGAAATTAATAATAATAAAGGCATTTTAAGGCTAATGGGTGGTAATCTTGAGAACCATAGTCACTTATGCTAGAAAACTTGCAATATTGGATTATTGCTGAATTCCTAGATTGTTAGTGGTGATAGATAAATAGAATGTTATGGAAAAACTTATTGCCTATAAAGTATATTAAACAATTGTTGGCTAATACAATGTGAATCAGAGTTTTTCTTTGAGAGACAGGATATTATCGGGTTAGGTGATTGTTCTTCAATGGAGTCTTCCTCTCATCCTCTCTGTTGTCCCCTAGTTATATTCACTTTAGCCCAGGAATTTGAGGTTGCAGAGAGCTATGTTGATACCACTGCCTTCTAGCCTAGGCAACAGAGTGAGACCCTGTCTGAAAAACAAAAAACAATCAAACTGAAAAACCAAGTTTTCATGCTTTGCAGATGACATGACCTTATATTTAGAAAAACCTAAAGAATTCTCCAAGACACTGTTAACTGATAAAGTTCCAGGATACAAATCCTACATACCAAAATAAGTACCATTTCTATATTTCAACAGTGAACAATCTGGAAAAGATTTCAAGAAAGTAATTTCATTTCTAATAATTTCAAAAAAATACCAAGAAATAAATTTAACCAAAAAGTAAAATATCTGTACAAGAGTACTATAAAGCACCAATGAAAGCAATTGGAGATTTAAAAAATTGAAAGATGTCCCATAGTCAGGGATTGGAATAATTAATATTATTAAAATGTCTGTACTACCTGAAATGATGTACAGATTTAATGCAATCCCTGTCAAAATACCAGTGTCATTTTCACAAAAATAGAAAAATAGTCCTACAATTCCTAGAGAATCACTGATGTCCTCAAATAGCCAGAGCAATCCTGAGCCAAAAGAACAAAGGTGAAGGCAATCCCTGATTTCAAAATATACTACAAAGCTGTAGTAACCAAAACAGCATGATAGTGCCATAGAAACAGACACTTAGACCAGTCAAACAGAATATGGAACCCAGAAATAAATGCACACATTTTCTCCGAGAACATTCACCAGGGAAAGAACAGTCTCTTCAATAAATGGTGTATATTCAGAATAACTGAATATCCATTTGCAGAATAATAAAACTAGGCCCTATCTCTCACCATATACAAAAATCAAATATTAACAAAAATGGATTAAAGGCTTAAGTGTAAAGTTATGAAACTATGAAAACACTAGAGAAAATGTTGGGGAAACATTTCAGGACATTGGATGGGGCACAGTTGTTTTGGTGGGTTACAAAAAGCACAGGCAGTATGAGCAAAAATAGACATTATATCAAGCTAAAAAGCTTCTGCACAACAAAGGAAATAATCAACTATGTGAAAAGACAACATGCAGAATGGGAGAAAATATTTTCAAAATATTCATCTGACAAAGGATTAACAATGTTGAAAGTCAAACATTTCAACAAAATTCCAAATAACACAAATATAGTCAAAAGATTTGAATACACATTTCTTTAAAGAAAACATAAATGCTCAATAGGTAAATGAAGAAATGCTCAGCATCACTACTCAACAGGAAAATGCAAATCAAAACCACAATGAGATATCATCTCACCTCAGTTAAAGTAGCTATTATCAAAAAGACAGAAAATAACATATTTCCAAGGATGTTGAAAAAGGGAATGCTTGTACACTGTTGATGAGAATGTAAAGTAGTACAGCCACCATGGAAAACTATATGGAGGTTCCTCAAAGAACTAAAAATAGAACTACCATATGGTGCAGCAATCCCACTGTTGGGTATTCATCCAAAAGCAAGGAAATTAGTATATCAAAGAGATATGTGCACTCTCGTTTATTGCAGCTCTATTCGTTATAGTCAAGATACAATGTCAACCTAAATGCCCATCAGTGATGTATGGTAAACTGGCACCTCTTCCATTATCCTGCAAGGAGTGAGAGCCCACTCTTCAAAGTGAACTAGCACAAAAATGGAAAAACAAACACTGCATATACTCAGCATCAAATTGGTACTAACTGCTCAACACTTTGGTTGCTCACACATGGAAGTAACATTCATTAGGTGCCAGGCAGGTGAAAAAAGAGATCAGCACCACGCAATGCAGATCTTAGTGATAGCTCTCTGTATGTGCCAGTGGCAGCACCTAATTAAAGGTGCCAGTGAACAGCCACACCCTGCAAAGCTGAGCTTGTCACTACTGAAAGTATGGAAGTTATATTGGTCATCCCTAGATGACCAGGCTCCAAAGCCCCCCCACTCACCCACATGCCCCAGGAGGGGCAGGATCTACTAGAAGAGAGTTCTTGAGTGCCTCATCTGTGACAAGGCTATGCCTGGACCATCCTATCTTGTCAGTCTATGCTACCTGAGGTGATCTACAGATTCAATGCAATCTCTATCAAAAGTCCATTTCAGTTTCAAAGAAATAAAAACAATCCTAACATTTATTTGAAACCACAGAAAGCCTTCAATAGTGAGGCAATCATGAGCAAAAAGAACAAAGCTGGAGGCATCACACACCCCAATTTCAAACTATACTACAAAGCAATAGTAATTAAACAGCATGGTATTGGTATAAAAATAGATGCATTGACAACAGAAAAGAAGAAAAGCCCTGAAATAAACCTCATATATGCTGTTAATTGTTTTTCAACAGTGGTGCCAAGAATACACAATGACAAAGGACAGTCTTTTAATAAAAAGACTGTTGGAAAATTGACATGAATAATGCAAAAGATATTAGAACTTTGTCTACACCATATATAAACGAACTCAAAATGAATAACTTGTAAAAATAAGACCCAAACTGTAAACCTCTAGACGAAAACATGGGAGAAATTACATGGCATTGGTCTAGCAATAATTTTTTAGATTTGCCTCCCAAAAGTATAGACAAAAGCGAAATAGACAAATAAGATAACATCAAACTAAAACTCATCTGCACAACAAAGGAAACAACAGAATAAGTGACAAGCTATCGACTGGCAAAGAGATTGGAAGGCAACATCTGAAAAGGAGTAATATCAAAATATGCATGGAACTAAACAATCTATAGAAAGAGAACATATGATCTGATTTAAAATGGCCAAGGGACCTGAATAGACTTTTTCAGAAGAAGACATACAAATGGCCAACAGATATATGAAAAAATTTCAACATCACTAATTATTAGAAAAGTGCAAATTAAACCCACAAGGAGATATCACATCGTACCATCAGAAAGGCTATTATCAAGAGTTGAATGGTAACAAGTATCGCCAGGATGTGAGAAAAGGAAATCCTTTGGCTGCTGAGAGGAATGTAAATTAGTACAGCTATTATGGACACTGTATAGGCTTCCTCAAAACCAAAACATAGAACTCCTGTTTATCCACTAATCCTACTGCTGGATTTTACACAAAAGATGTTAATCCGTTTTTCACAGAGATGTCTGCCCTGCCTGTTCACTGAGCACTATTGACTTATCCAAGTTATGAAATCACTTAAATGTCCATAAAAATAAATGGATAAAGAAATGTGGTATGTATACACAAGGGAATGCTATTCCGCCTTAGAAAAGAAAGAAATTTTGTCCTTGCAATGATATGGATAGAATTGGACATATTATATTAAGGGAAAGAAACCAGGAACTATGTTCTCTGTTATGTGGAATCTAAAACATCACACTCAAAGAGCAGGGTAGATCTGATCAACAGAGACTGGGGAATTGCAGGAATGGAGATGGGTGTCAAAGGGCCAAGCCTCATTAGACAGGAGAAATTGTTTTTCTTTTCTTTGTGAGGTAAAGTGTGGTAAATATAGTGTTATTTTAAGTTTGGCTCAAAGTGTCCTCTGTGCTTGTGTAATAGGTTTGGGCCCACAGTGGCCTCCTTGCTTAGTGAGTGGTACTCTAACTTGATGTGTAAACAGTTGTAACCTGACCTAGTAGTAAACTCTTGTAACCAAGCAACTGAGTCCAGAGAACCATTGCAGCCAAGCTTTAGCCAATCGCAGGCTAAAGCTCGAAGTATGCCCCAGTAAGGCCTGGGCCAAACGGGCCAGTCAGGTACTATCTCCCACCTCATTTCCTGTTTCCTGGTTATAAATGCCGCTGGCCTCATTAGGGGTGGGGCATTCAGAACCATATTCTGTCGAGAATGCTGCCCACTTGTAGAACTCTTTTCTTACCCAAGTAAACTTTGTCAAATTTAAAGTGTCTTGGGTTTTTAACAGGTCGACAGTTCAAGGAGCAGAGAGTGACCACGCAAGAGCTCGCCGGAGCCGTTGAGCCCAGTGATCACTTGCGCATCTGGTAAGCTTCTCCCTTGGATTCCAAGTCCACTTATTTTGTGTTCTGAGCTTGCCAAGTGTATCTGAACAATAGGTTTCCTTTTTTTGTTTATTGTTTTTGTTTCTTGGGTTTTGTTTTTCTGTGTGTGTTTCTGCCCGTTTACTCAAATGGATTATTAAATGGCTAGTGTATGAGTCTGTTAGACACAATCTGACCTACTGATAGTACAAAATCAAATTGGAATGAACATTTAATCGAATTGGATCCAATTTAAGGGCCTTGGGTAGGTATTCTTTATCTTTTTGCTTTTTTTTTTTTTTTTTTTTTGAGACAGAGTCTCACTTTGTTGCCCAGGCTAGAGTGATGCCGTGGTCAGCCTGGCTCACAGCAACCTCAATCTCCGGGCTCAGGGATCCTACTGCCTCAGTCCCGAGTAGCTGGGACTACAGGCATGCGCCACCATGCCCGCTAATTTTTGTATATGTATTTTTAGTTGGTCAATTATTATTTCTATTTTTGGTAGAGACGGGGTCTCGCTCAGGCTGGTTTCGAACTCCTGACCTTGAGCAATACGCCCGCCTCCGGCCTCCCAAAGTGCTAGGATTACAGGCTGAGCACCACACCAGCCTCTTTTTGGCTTTTGAATGCAGGGTTTTATGCTGTCAGGGAGCATATGACTTTTTGTCTTGTGGGGAGTTTTATCCCTGCTTTTTCTAACATGACTTGCAAATAAACAATTCTATCCAAATTAAATAAATTAATTTCCCATTGTGGCCACTTTAATTCTAGGTTAACGCTATGTACTTCTGAACCCAGTTCCGTTCTGTGTGACCCAGGCAGACTGAGGCCTCCTGTTTCTGTCATGACTTC